TAATTAAAAATTATTTTCGGTGTAATTTTAAGATTAAATATTTTAATTTTATAGTAGTATATTAATGTTAAAAAAATTGGGGCCTAAAATTTATTATATTTAACTTTTTAAAATTTATTAAGTTGATTTTTTTTAAAATTTATTTATAAGAATTGAATTATTTTATAACCTTTATTTATAAAAAACTATTATATTAAATTTTTATAATGTTAAAAATATGACAATTTAATATTATATTTGTTTGTATTAAATGTTATTTTTTTTATTAATTTATTTAATTTATATATAATTTTTTGGGTAACTATATATAAATAAAATATAGGTCAAAGATATAGATATACCGTTACCCATCAAATAAAATATAGGTAAAAAATATGGATATACTGTTTCTCAGCCCTATTTCATATCACAAAACTTGCATCAAAATGGAAAAAAGAAAAGGCCTTGTTTATTGTGTATCTTAGACATCTGGATTTACTTGGTAAGAAAGGAGGGATGGTAACGGTAGTTCTTTAAAAATTAAAACCCCCATCCCATTCGGATTCATCTTCCTTTCATTTCCTTTATCTTTCCTTTATTTTCTACTTCCCTTGTTGTCTATTTTCTTCTATTCTTGGTGCTTGCGGTTCAATTTCGGAACTAATGTTGCTTCTTCTCGGTTGTTAGGTGTTTATTATACCTTTTTTTTTATGGTGAGATTATTTTCTTTCTTTCATTTTGTTAGTTTTTTTTTTTTATAAATATTTTTGGTTGGTATAAATCAAATAATTAGTTGACCGTGGATCACGCATCATATAACAAAGAATGGATATTTGGTTAGGATTCATATATATCTTTTAATGTAGGATTTACTTTCTTGATTTTTTTAATTTAGACAATTTGTATTCTTTTTTTCATTCTTGCATACCAATGTAATATAAGTGTGTAATGAGTGAAATCTAACAATAGTCATAAACGGTTCACCATGTAACATTTATGAAAGTGGTCTAGAATTAGTCAAAATAATAACGGTGCTATAAAATGAAAGGGAATCACTATTCAATTTTTTTATCTAAACCCGGCCTAACCCAACCCACTTACACCCCTACCTACATCTGAATAACCTTTCCTTATTTTCTTTTTACACTATCCTATGCATATTTCTACACAACTAATTAAATTTTTTTCATGTATTTTGTAACGCAGTTGGTAGACTGGAATGGGACGTTCTAAAATTGGAACGAGTCGTTCCAAACTTCTAAAATAATGGTGATTTAGTAGCCCAGAATGGGTCGTTTCCAAACTAGAACGGGGCGTTCCAGACTACTAAATAAGCCTGTAAATCCTAGTCGAGAACGGACCGTTCCAAATATAGTTGTTATGAGTTAAATTCAACTCCAGAACGGGTCGTTCTGGTTTAAGAATGAGTCATTCTAGACGTGCCAGAACGGGTCGTTCTGCATGTGGATTTTACACATGACGAAGAAGTCTAGAATGGGCCGTTCCGGATTCGAAACGGGTCGTTCTGCTCACTCCTGACCTCTATAAATAGGCGTTGAGGAGGGGGAGAAAAGGGAAACTTAGAGATAATTTTTAGAGAGAATGACTCTGGGCCAAGAAGCTTGCTTTTGGAAGATGGAGGTTCCCGGGTTCAGCTTCGGAAGGAAATTCCACTTTTTCTCAGCTCTTGGCAACGCTGAGCCAATCTTCAGGTTAGAGAAGCTTCATGCATTGTTTTCTTTGAAAATGGTTAAGTTGTTGGGTGCAGATTGAGTTAAAAAGTTGTGTTTTGTTATTTGAAAGAAAAAAGATGATTGATTTAAATTAGTGGTTGCATGTAGTTGTTCTTGTGTTTCAGAAGTTGTTTATAACATGGTTAAGTTGCTAAGTTTCCTGATGAAGATGAGTTGAGTAGTTGTTGACTTACGTTGTTTATATGTTGTGTATTTGGTGAAACTAAGTGGTTTTTATGTTGTTTATTGTTGAATGATTAATAAGTTGAGATGTATAAGTTGAAGTAGTTCATTGTTGTAAAGTTGATATTGTGTTGATTGTAGTTGTTTAATTAAGTAGTATAAAGATGTCTATTGCTGTAAAGTTAAAAGTTGTTTATCGTTATAAGATGTCTATTGTTGTATTGTTGTAAGTTGCCTATTGTTGTAAGATGTCTATTGTTGTATTGTTGTAAGTTGCTTATTGTTGTAAAGATGTCTATTGTTGTAAAGTTGTTATGATGCCTATAGTTGTAAAGTTGTTTATTGTCGTAAAGTTGTAAAGCTGCATATTGTTGTAAAGTTGAAAAGTTGGGGACATATGGTGAAGATATATGTCTTATGTTGAGATACATAGTACTAAGGAGATAAGTTGAAAGTTGTTTTAAAGTTGAATCCCTTAGTACTGTGTGGGCGACATGGAAGTAGTCGATTTATGTCATGGTTGAATGACCAATTTGAGTACGGTATCTAGTTAGAGATGTAGTCTTTGACTAGGTACTGGAGGGTGCGTAGTACTTGGAGGACAGTGGGTGGGCTAACTCCATACGTGGATTGGTGATGCTAGCCAAGGTCGTGGTAAGCTCATATCCAAACCCTTCTGTCCTGACAATAGTACTGGACCTCCAAGTCTAAAGTGGCACACCTGAGTAATCACCTATTATTTTCTATACTTGTTTCTCTTCGGAGTTCCTAACGATGTCCTATACCTGACCTGGTTGAGATAAGTCAAACGCTGAATTGATAGGATTTATGCCACCTAGACTGCTCAACCTCAGTTGTTGGAGATCTCCTAGTTGTATATGCGTGACGACGCATTAGTTGATGTATTCAAGTTGTATATAATGTTGTATGAATGAGTTGATAGTTGAGCTATTGTGATAAATACTATATATGTAATTGTGTTGTGATGAGTTGTTGATCACTAGGACTAGATGAGAAGTTTTCGAAGTTGCTAATCCCATTGTGCGGATTGAGATAATTATGGTGCTCTGACAGCCCAATTTGAATAAAGTGCGATGTGTTGAAAATGTTGTTGCTAGTAAATGATATTGTATATCTATTGTTGTAGATGTTGTGTTGCTTTAAGTTGCAAGTTGAAAGTAGAATTTTATTGTTGTTTATTATATGTTGATGCTATTTTTTTATGTTTATTGTTGTGAGCTTACCCTAGCGTGTTTTCTCTATGTGGTTGGCACTGCGATAACCATACCTTGGTATGCGAGCAGATCAGGATAGGTGCTCTGCTGGTCTGGGTGAGCTTCGAGACTTAAGAGGAGGGCTAACGTTGTGATTAGTTGATTGGTAGCTTTTGACTACCTAGTTGTTGTATAGGGTATTATTTCCCTACTTTCAGTTATATATATTATGAGACTTTTTAGTTGTGTATTCTCATTATATATATAATTGTTTAGTAGTGAGATTTTATTTTTATACTTGTATTTAGATGCTCTAGACAGTGTGAGACCTGACGGGTCGTTACGTATTTTTTACTAAGGTATTGACGAGAGTAACTTTCATTAGAATTAATCTCTTTCAAAATCTTGAATGCATTAAGGTTAGAACTCCAAATCTTAAATCTTGAGGATTAATCATAATACTAATGCCAATACTAGTTGGATCAATCAACGTTGATTATATCATAATTATCATTGATGTTATTTTTTTTAATTAAACTTAAAGTAGTAATGTGTATAATTATATTACAAAAGTTTAAATTAAATATAATGTGCAGTACTACTGATATAAAGCTTTTAATTTTGATTAGAAAATAATAAGAATAATTTTATTAGTATTTTTTTTTAAAATCCAACTCAAATTTATTTTCGGTAAAAATAAAATCATAACAATCCTTCTAAGCCATTTTGTCTTAAAACAAAAGGAAACTCTTCTCACTACATTTTTCCTGTATATCAGTAATATGTCTGATTTTTTATTTTAATTTTAATTATAAAAAATATATAACTACTATTTTTTATCTATCAAAATTTTATTGACTAAATCAAGATTCAAACTTAGGATATTCTAACTCTTCACAATTAGGTTAACTTTAATAGTAGATACGAATATTTTTTTAATGTATTATTTTGTTTTTAATATACTTTTAATTTAATTCAAAATTTAAATAATGAGATTGTTAATTAAACATAATCTAACTAATTTATCTGAATGCTTATCTGCATTCAGATAACACATGCTTCAAACCACTTTTATTATCCAATGTAACTGCTTTATTACAGGTTCCAAACCACCTTTATTATGTAACATAATTAACGAACTATTTACTATTTTTATAAATATAAAATATTTATTAGATAATTCACACTATCAATCATATTGATTGATTAAAAAATAACTTTTAACTTTTAAATAGTATCACTAAATATTATTTAATTCAAATTTTAAATAATGAGATTATTATTTAGACCTAATCTAACTAATTTATCTGAATGTTTATCTGCATTCAGGTAATACATGCTTCAAACCACTCGTTTTATCCAATGTAACTGCTTTAATACATGTTACAAACGACTTTTATTATTTTCTCATTTTTTATATAAATATAAACATATTTATTAAATAACTAATACTATAAATCATACTGATTAATTAAAAGAAATTACTTTTAAAATTGAAATAATATCATTTAGTATTATTTAATTTAAAATTTAAATCATAAGATCATTAATTAAACCTAATCTAACTAATTTATCTGCATAACACCTATTTCAAACGACTTTTATTATCCAATGTAACTGCTTTAATACAGGTTTTAAACCACTTTTATTCTGTAAAATAACATGTACTAATAAAACTACTTTACTAGTACGAAGTACTACGTGTTACTGTGCGAGGAGAAGGCGAAAACAGTGCGAGAAATTAAAGATGAATAAATGTGTTTATATAATCGAGGATTTAGCAGAGAGGCACGTGATGAGGTTGCAGAGGGAATCTAACGAAGCCGTTTCCCGAGACATATGGTGATAAAGGATCCAACAAAAGCAAAAGAAAGATAACAGCAGCATGGTCCACCACGTTACCATCATAATTCACATTTCACATTACTATATTATTTATTATTATTATTACTTTTTCTATGGCTTCAAAAGCTTAGGTGTGGTGGTGAAATTTCCATGCGCTCCCTTCCATGCGCCTTATTTATGGAAGTGAACGAGACTAGGGTTTTCATTGTGGTCAAGAGTTGTGAGTTACTATTATGACCCTTTAACCTTTTCAATAGCGTTGTGGTTGTTGAGGGTATATTATTTAACTGGTTTTTCCATTTGGAGTAGGTAGCTCATCTTATATATATACATATATATATATACACAAATATATATAGATCCTTTTGTCATCAAATTTGTGGAGGATCCTAGATCTCAGATCTAGGGTTTTGTTTTCCTGTTCTTTTCTTTTAACCAAGAAAAATATAAACCTTGTTTCCCTTAGTTTGGCTTGGAGTTTCTTGTTCTTTTGGAGTTGAGCTTCTAGTAGTTCCTTTTTGGGTTTGTGATGGGGTTCGTTATGGCCTTGATCTTTGGTGTTTTTGTTTGTGGAGTTATTAGGGTTTTGGGTGAGTGGGGATAATGAAGTTGGGAAATTTTTTCTTAGGGTTTGACCTAATAGTTGAAAGGGGTTTATGGAGTGGAGCTCCTTGAAGTCCAAATGAGGATCTTACTTGGTGGATTAAGCTGCTCAGCTATGGATCCCACAGTCCTACCCATAAGTGCTTTTGTGGTAGTCTTGTGGCTTGCATATCTGGGGAGCTTCATTTGCCTCTATTGTATAATCCTTCTTTGGATTGAAGGGAGCTCTACACCCTTTTCTCCTTTACTCATAATAATCTTTATTTGTTTCAAACATCAATTGACTGGTAATTTTTTTTTAATTCTATTAATTCTTAAATTTGATATTGTTATTGATGTGGAGATACCTGGTCCAAGGTATATATATGGACATGATTAGATCCACAAAATTTGTGCTCATCGTTGTGAAGTTGGTATGAACTTTTGATCTGTCTTTGAACTTTATTTGTTGTTTTATTAATTGCTACTTTATTATGGTTTGCTAGTTTTTTTGCTGCATGCTTATCTTGGATCTGGACTTTTATTCTTGCAAGTTTTGTTGTTGAGTTGAGTGAATATACATAATAGGGATTTGTTGTCTTTTGTACAGATCTGTGTTCTTGGCTCTTGCTTTTGGCCTGTGTGGTCTACGTCAGTTCATTAATCTTGAGCTTATCCTACATGTTTATGCATCTCGAGGTTGGGGTTAAAAGAGTTCTTGTAAAATCAGGATGAAGATCCAGTTTTATGTTTCTGGTTTTATGTAGCCAATAAAACTGAGGTTTAACAGATGACATAATATTTACCACTAGGGTATAGTTTTTGCGGGAATGTATCGCTTTAATGCATGTATTTTACTGGATTTGAATTGTCAAATTTAAACAATCAAATCTCCTTTTGTAGTTTCTGAATCATTGGAACGTGATTTTACTTTGTTTTCCTAATGTAACTCAAATAAGAGGATTTTACTTTAAGTCGTGAGGGTGTTTTGTTTTGAGGAAGGACTTGACTTCTGAAACTACTTGCTATGGATTAAAAATAAAACCCTTCATGATTTAGAATTGTTGTGGAAAGTATAATATTTCGTATTCCTATTTCCTGACTCGAGCAAAATGTCATGCTGTTTGTTTTCATACTCAAAATTTATGGAATATATGAATTGATTAGAAAATCTGCAATAGTCATAGCAAGCAGCGTTAGTAACCTACTAATCAACCGTTTTATAGCATTTATCATCTTGAATATTTTTTTATGTAAATAACATACAAAAGTGTTGAATATAGTAATGTAGTTTTGACATACACCAGATTATGTGCCGAAAGGTGTAGGAATACAAATACAGTGAATGGAGTGGTTAAAGAAAGTTTAGGGAGTTTTTGGTTTTAGTGTTTCCACTTTTTGAGGTAAGACAGACGTCAAAATCAATGTTCCTGGTCATAAGCATTTAACGTGGATGAACGGTTTCCTTTCATAGTTTGCGATTCATATCGTATGGTACAAGATTAAGAAACCTTCGTTTCATTTTATTTTTTGGGTTTCGTTAATTTTATATCTTTCTAGGAAATTGTTATTTTTTTTCAAAAATATGATTATTTATTTGGCTCTTGTTGAAATTTCGTTTTATGTATAAAATGAAAATCTGAACTTGAATTGCATATATTTTAACAAAAATAATTTTTAGTGAGTTTGAAAATATAGTTAATAAAGAAAAACATTTAATATTATAAATGTAATATACTGAGAAAATAATTGATAAAATAATACTCACAAAATATGATATTGTTTAAATTATATTTAATTAATATATTTTTTCATGTCCACAACGGATAGATAAGTTTGATATTTTCATACGAATTTTTTTATAAAAAAAAATATTCGTAGATTTTTTTGAAGAAATAATTCCATTTTTTCGTGAAGAATAATTTCAAAGAACTTTCTTACAATGCTTTAATAAAAAAATCTATAATAAATTATTACAAGTTTTACTATGATTTTAGTAATCATAGAATTTTATTTTCATGATAAAATACTGCAAAAAAAAAAGTGTCATAAGAATTTTCTATTATTTTTTCAGATTTTTTTAAAAATAAATTCAGAAGGTAATATTTATTAATATTATAATAAATGATAGGAAATTTTCATGGTAACTTTTCTTATATATTTTCTTGTCAATTTTAATTCTCATGAAAAATAAAAAAGAATGTTTAAATTTATAAGTTTAAAAATTAAAAATAATTTAATTTAAAATATTATTTTATTAAATTATATATATATAATTATATTGATATAATTTTTATTAAATGTAAATTTTATAAATTCAATTATTAGATTAAAAATTCTTTATTTTTAAATTATATATATATAATTTTATAT